TTAAGTTTTTCTAGTAAGTCAGTATATTTCTCGTCAGTTGGAATGCAGTTTAAATATTTCCAGATAAAATTAAAATATGAACATGGGTTTTGTGTAAAAATTCGTGTGCTTCAATTGAACTTTGATATTTTTGGATGTTCATCCAAATTTAATAGAAGTAGGTTGAAAAACCGTGGAGTTCTCTATACCTAAACAGTTCTTTGATACCATCAGAGGAATGAATATTATTATTCAGTATTTTACTATGATCAAACCATCCAATAATTTTATTATTGGATGGCTGATCATTAATGATTTACAGCTTATGATAGTAAACTATCCAATAATTTTATTATTAGATAGTTCGATCTTAATTATCGTGAAATTATTCTAGTTTCTAATAGATTGGGCATCAAAGCAGAACTAACTTTTTTAAAATTGTTATAAGCTGGACCAAAAATTACTAAAGCAAAGTTGACTTTTTAAAATTGTATAGATCGGGCCAGAAACTATCAAAGCAAAGGTGACTTTTTTAAAAAATTGTATAGATTGGGCCAGAAATTACTAAAATAAAAATGACTTTTTTTAAAAATTGTATAGATTGGGCCAGAAACTATTGAAGTGAAGATGACTTTTTAGAATTGTTGTAGGTTGGGCCAAAAACTATTAAAGCAAAGGTGATTTTTTCAAACTTGTCACAGACTGGGCTAGGAACTATCAAAGCGAAGATAATTTTTAAAAATTGTCATATATTGGGCCAGAAACTATCAAAGAGATAGCAATTTTTTTTTAAATTGCTTGAGTTAAGGCCAGAAACTACCAATGCGAAGGTCACTTTTTAATTATTTTAAAACTTGTTATAGATTGGGTCAGAAAACTACGTAACTTCTATAAGTTGGATAATAACATAAAAAAACATTAAATAAAAAAAAACTTTAAACTTATAAAGCATAAATTCAAATTAATTTATAAATTTATTCTACATAAATATTTGAAATTATAATACTAGTGCTAGCTAAATATTTTAATTACATGACATGTGAAATATTAATTAATAGTGACATTTTCTGCATTTATATAATAATTTTTTACAGCCATGCCATTGTTACTACTTTCGTTAGATTCTTGATTTTGAATATGCACTTTAGAAATAAATGATACCAATAAATTAATAAAATATGTCAATTGCTAGAAATAGTTTATTGTTATTAATTAAACAATACCTTTAGGTTCTTGAATTAATTAACTATATTTATGAAGAAACTGGTGACCACCAAGAGTAGGTATAGGTTTAGTTGCATTAATGTGCAATAGAAGTTTTTTAGTTAAAAGAGGTGGGCGGAATGGTTTAGTTACAGAATGTCCATCTAAAAAATATCCATCTTCAGATAGTTTTGCTGGTGAGTTTAATAATAGCTTATAAAAAAAAATAGTTAAAAAAAAAAAAAAAAAAAAAAAAAAGATGTAGATAATAATAAACTTGGTACATGATCATTGGATGCAGGTAAAATTCCCACGCTGCTAATAATTTGAAATAAAGCATCCTCTTTTTGTTTAAATGATGGGTGAGCATAATTCTATATGAGGATTCGCTTTTATGACCTGTAATAGACATTGTTGTAACAAATAGTACTCCCTATCGAAAAAGTAAAGTAATTGATGTTGAGCGGCCTGAATGGTTTACAAGTTCACGATTTTCTACTTCAATACCAACTGCACAACAAATATTTTTCATGAATGACTAGCATGTCTTTTCTTCTAATCTTGCATCAACATACCATTCGTCAGATGAATCTATAAAATAAATTTAGATTATTAATATTAAATTAAAAAAAAAAAAAAAAAATACTTTTTCTATTAATTTGCAAATGTAAAAATTCACATTTAGAATTTTAGGTCTTTTAGAAAAATAGTATTTTATGTCATGAACTGGGCCTTGAAAACTTTTTGGATCAGGTGGTACAGATATAACAAGAGCATCTAAATTTCCATCGATACCACTCTGATCATTTTTTTGTGAATACTTTGTAAATTGAAGACCTCCATTATCCATAAATGTAAACTGAGTTATTAATAATTTATAATGTTCACTACCCTGTGGTTGAATCAATAGACAACACACATAAAAATGCGATATTGCAATCCTTGTGCTGTATCAACAAAAATAACTTCATAATGAAATATTTGAGATAATTCTTCATCAGTTAGATTATCATGATGACGAGAAACTTTTCTAATTTTTTTCAACATTTTTATTTTTTCATTTAAAGCTTCCCATAGGTGTCTAAACTCATTTTTATTTGTGAGATTAAATATTTTAGATCCATTAGGGTGTTGTAAAATATATAGACTCAATACATTAATGCAATTAATTAGTGATGACGGTGCATATTCTTCTTGAGTTTTGATTTGACGAATTCCCAAGATAAACTCCATCATTTTCTTTTCTAGCTGTTCCTTATTTGTAATAGTCTCAACTCTATAATTATATCCTACTTCATTACACCAGTTATTTAAAATTCGAACCCATTTAATAGTAGCTTTTTGAGTATTTTCTGGAATAGTACTGGTGATGATTGAATTAATTTCTTCATCAGTTAGTTTGTAATATGTTTTCTTTTAAGTTATAACGGACATTTTTTTAAAAAAAGAAAAAGAGATTTCAAATTAATTATAACTAACTCAATTATTTATATGAAAATTTTGACTTTATTATACTTCTTATCATTACATGATCAATTTAATTATCACATAGTAATCATTTTTAATAATCGCTTTTAATAAAAATATGTAATGTTATTTGATTATTGTAAAATACCAAATAAATCCGTTATTGTGTACTTCACTTCCAATAACTTCCGTGTTTGGCCTGGAAATTTAATATGCCAGCCTACTGGGCCCTTTTGGAGCCCAGAAGGCTGGCATATTAAATTTCCAGGCCAAATACGTCTTCATATTTGTCACTTGACACTAATTAGATAATGATCAGTCATTATGCTGAATACTACAGTTATAAGGTGTGAAGCACCCAATAACTTATTATTATCTGCTTCTTGTTCGTACAGTTTTAAGTTAGCACACTGAGATGGTATATAGGTTCGAGGTTATTGTTTTTGGATTTTAGGTTGTAATTGGTAGGGTATGCCTTGTGGGTTGTCAATATTAGGTAACTCGAGATAATAGATAGGTTGGGTTGTAGGAGTATTAAATCCTGGTTCGATTATTAGACCGTTATCCCAAAGGTCATCAGAGAGAGGCTTAGAACGTTTATTTCCTCATCGGAATCCACAAATTTTTGAATAGGCAAACAATAAATTAGTTTGTTGCGAAGTTAAAGGAGAACCAAATTGTAACTGAGCAATGGCAGATTTAAGTTTTTCTAGTAAGTCAGTATATTTCTCGTCAGTTGGAATGCAGTTTAAATATTTCCAGATAAAATTAAAATAATGTTGTGAGAAAGGTTGCATGTAGTTTGTAAATAAAGAAAATATTTTTATAA